TATATATATATATATATATGGAAAGTATTTATTTTTAATTCTTTTATTTCAAATGCCATTTCGCATATACAAAATTAAGTTTTAGTAAAAATTGTTACTTCATATTTGTTAATATTTTATATATGCAAACTTTATATTTATAAACAAAATATATCTTAACTAATACATATTCCATCTTTTTGACATCTATTAAAAAGATTTATACCATTGGTATACTTTTATTAGCAATAAATATTTATAGGTCATCGGAGCATCGGTTCTCGGACGATCACAAGGTTAAGCACGTTTCAGAAGGTTCATGGCTTGGATGGGTGATCGCTTTAGGAATATCGTAAATAAATATATCGAATTGGCGATCATTTTTCATTGAGGAAATGATCAAGAATATATCAAAAATTTATGCAATTTGACATCATTTTGACAAACTAAAATTTGATCTTATTTTTATGTTATTTTGATTTTTCTCTTCTCTTTGGGCAGGATTTCGATTTGTGATCAATGTCAAATCGATTTCGCAGTTTGAATCGACAGGAGGTCGACATAGGAGTAAAAAAGAAATCGATATCGATGTCAATTTCGATCCCATTTCGAACCCACTTTTCGACGTCGATTCGACGTCGGGTCGACATATTGTTTCTCACTGGGTTGTTACATACTGCCCCACGTGTGGGGTACTATGTGACAGGTCTGGGGCACTACGTGACAGGCTCAAGGTTGGGTGTTACAAGGCCAGAAAAAATCCTTCTAATACATTTAAAGATTTATTATTATATCTTTAAAACTGGTACAATATAAAACAAACAATAAATTTTTTAAAGTTCTAATATTAAAAATAAAGCTTTCACTGGCAGACGTATAAGCACAGCCTAAGTATGAAAAAATCAATATTATAACGAGCTCATGTTAATTATTTTAGATTGAGTCTTTTTACTCAACCTAAATAAAATATATTAAAATAAATTATTGAAATAAATTATTAAAATAAAACTTCAAAATAAAATGTCTTTCTAACTTATAAAAACAATCAATAAAATCAAATTTTTATAGAACTTTCTTGGATTAAAATTAGGTATTAAAAAGTGTCTTTGGCTCACTATTAACTTAAAGTGAGAAGAGAGAAATTAACAGCAAAACCGTATTGAGATTGTTGCCTCTTTGTTTCACTCACAGTGGGTTTTGGTAAAATCATGTGTATGTCAGAAATAGACACACTTTTCAAATTGTGTACATTCGGCATTAAAAACTTATGGCACTTTACATTTTGACGCAAGTAGCTTGCTTCACAGTCACCATCATCGTCAATTTCTTTTATTATTTTCCCTACATAATACATGGACTTTTGATGGCCTTTGCTTTTTCTTTTATTAACATTTTTAGGCAGAAACTTAACCAGCACAAATTCTCCTTCTTCTGGATTCTTATTCAACATTTGTTTGTTATTAGGATTAGGCATAGGCAGAATTTCGGAATCATTCTCCTCTCCATCTGATTGTGAGTGGAAAGACATCGCCTTCACATCATCCGGATCAGAATTATCGAATAATAATTTCCTTGTTACAGTCTTTACTTTATTAGGACAGACTTTTTTAGATGCCTTGGTACTCTCCAATTCATTACGAACGGGAGTATCTGTGGCTATCATTGTTTTGCCCTTTTTACGTCCACCTTTGCTTGTTTTTTTCTTGGAGCTGCTTTGGGATATGGCGCAATTTCTTCTAAAATAACAATTATCTTATTTTTCTTACGAGTTTTGCTTGTACTTGGCTGACTCTCTAAAATAAAATAAAAAAGTAATTAAGAAAGGAAACAATAAAGAGTAAATTAAGAAAACAAAAAATAAAAGAAAACAGTATTTACTTCAAGCACATCAAATGTTTCCTTGTGCTCCTGATTCGGAAATTCATTTTCTGGAGGAGGTAACTCTCTGTCTGTCTCCTTGAAATCAGACAAAAACATGGCATTAATTATGTGGGCACTGCTTTTATATTATGCATTCTAGAGAATGAGGTGTAAACGAGACACTAAAACTCACCTTTGATAACTTAAAGTCCTTGTCTGTGAAAATTTGGGGAATAAAAGGATAAATTCCACAAGCTTTAAAACCAGACTAGATGTTATCTGGGATAATTGCAACTTCCATTGCTTCTTTTACTAGAGCGGCAATATTGTAAATGGTTATTGTTTGCTCTGGATAGGCTGTACTGAATGGCCCAAAGCAGGTTCGGTCAAGAGGCTGTCACATGTGAGAAATATGTGGATGCAGGGTAAGAATCATTATTCCATTTGCCTTGCACAGATCAATAGCATCAATAGTGATGTGAACCTCTAGATTATCCATAATTAAGAGGGATTCATTTTCTTTAGTGCTATTTGTATAATAAGAGCAATGAATCTCTTTAAAACAAGTAAGAAGTTGTTTTATTCCATCCAACTTGATAGGTGCGCCAGGCCAAGAGTCCCAGCCTCTACAAATCATGTGATTCATAAAATTTTTTCTTGGAAAAATCATGATTGGGAGAAAAACATTTCCAAGTGCATTTACAATGAGACAAGTGGTAACACGTGTGCCTCTTTCAGCACTTGTTTTCACAGATATTCTTCGTTGACCTTTTCTTGCTAAAATTTTGTTCTGGACTGTACAAGTTCCTGTCTCATCCAAATTGTAAACTCGTAAACCATTTGCAAAGTTTGGATTGCGTTTAATTATTCGCTTTAAATTTTCAAAATATTTGCCTACATTATGTTTGTTAAATGTTGAGCTACGACTCAAACTACATGGCCCTGGCTTCCTTAGGGAAATGATTGTATGGCGTTTTTTAAACATGTATAGCCACTCTAAGTCAGCTTTTTGATGTGTTCTCCATGATTCAGGAATTTTTTTACCATTTTTGATAGCAAATTTGTAAGTTATTTCTCTAGCTTTTTCTGAGAAAAGACTGGCCAAGCTCAGCACATGTTAATAAGTATTTAACTAGCAATTCTTTCTTTTCTTCAGAAAATACTTGACGTGAATTGTAATGTTGACTTAAATCTGCATTGGATACTAACTGCTCTGCTTGTACATTTTCACTTTCAGTAAGAGATATTTTCTTGACATATCTTCTGAGTGTTTTAAAGTTAATTTCGTAGGTCTCGCCAGCCTTGCGTAAAGACATTCCATTTATTACTGCTTTTATGGCTTTTCTCAGCTTCTCCTCATCATGGACTCTATTTATCTTTTTGTCTGTGTTGAATCATACTTGACTAATAATCAATAGAAAACAATAATATAAAAACAAATAAGAGTAATAAACAAAAATATGCATGTCACAATGTACCCCAAGCATTACTGACACATACTGCCCTAAGGATACCTTTGTCACTTAACTTTACATAGACGGTGATACGAGGCTTGCATTAACATGATTATATCCTTAAATAAAACGCTAAATATAACTTTACAACAGGTCCTGTACACTTGTGTCATCAAAACAAATATCTTACCTTCAGAAACGAAACTATAAAGTAAAAAACAAATTTTTGGCCTGCTCGGATTTCTTTACATTGCTCCCGTATTTTTTACAGGCTTCTGAAATTCCGTCAAAGTAACTATTTTCATGATGCCTTTCTTTTATATGTATTAACATTCGGCTGCGCGCACTGCGTTTTGAAAAAAAGCCGCTGTCACATAGTACCTCGTGTCACAACGTGCCCCACCTTCCCCTACCATTCGTATCGTTGGATCTATAATTTCCACGCTTCAACCATGCCTTCTGGCTTTACAACTAGTGGTGCGGGCGGTTTGATAGGGTATTCGGCTCCATTGTTACTCTTTCCCTATTACTTAACTTTAATGCGTGACTTTTCTTCTGACACCTAGTAAGGTATTGGTGAATGCACAGAATGAACGTTGTACGTGTTTTATTATATGACGGTTACAAAATGTCTGACGTGAATGATATGCAGAGTATCCTGCGCCATCTGAGTAGCCTCGTGGCGCCATCGTTACAGCTAGCGCCAACAAAATTAACATATTAAAAGCTCATCAAAATCAGAGGGAGACACTTACAATTAGATCCCTTTCCATGTCTAATAACAATAAGTCTTCAGTCACAGATACACGTTTTAATAAGAGATATTGTATTATTTAAATTTAATCAGAAATACGTAACATTTTTAATAAGGGAGAATTTGAAGTGATAATTTAAATAAAATCATTACTGAACATATTGTTATAAACTTTTTCTTTAAATAATTTTTGGTAATTGGTATTATATGGATCAATCCAATTATATCATAAACAATCTGAAGGTATAGATTCCAATACAAAGAGATCTGTGATTAACATGATAAAATCTGATCAATCATGACAAATTGTCATAAAGACGACCAGACGACGAAAAGATCTCTTTGTGTTGAAATCTACATATCCAGATTGTTAATCTGGATATGTAGACCCATCGATATAACTAAACCAATTACTAAAGATTGTTAAAAAAAAATGTTTATAATGATCAATTCATATAACGATCTTATTTAAAATTTATAATTATTTATATTAAGATATTAATTATAGATATGGGGCTAAGCATACGACGGATAAATGCCCAGAAGCAATTTTTACATTATGTATTCAATCGATGACTGGAGTGATTCTGCAAGCATTCATGGTTGGCATCGTCTTCGCCAAGCTGTCACGTCCAAAAAAACGCACGCAAACTCTACTTTTTTCACGTAATGCTGTCATCTGTCAACGAGATGGTCAATCTTGTCTTATGTTTCGCGTTGGTGATATGCGCAAGAGTCACATCATCGAGGCACATGTTCGTGCTCAGATGATCAAGAAAAAGGTAAAATAATAATTATAACAAAATGTAACGAAATCTGAATATTGAAAATGATTGCATAGTTACTTAAAATTGATCCTCATATATGAATGTTATTGTTGTATATCGGGTAGGTGGACGACGATAAGGACAGGCACAAGTACTCGTATTAAATATATAACTATAACGTGTAGAGATTTAATCCTCAAAGTTTTTCTTTTAATATTAATATTTAACTCTTTCTTTTAATATTAATATTTATTTTAAAAAATTATTTACAAGTTACTTAATAACGTGCATTATTTTTGAAATTTATATTGTGCATAATATTATGGTGGCTCTGAAAAGGGCCGTTTGGTCTCTTCTATAGTAGCCTTTCTCGCCAGCAAATTGGAGGTTGGGTCTTCGTTGTTTTTCTTGGCCCCAGTATTCTATCCGTGTAGAGTAGACTAGTGTTCTCCTTCGGATAGGGTACCCCGATCTGCGTCGTCTTGGTGTTCTCGAGTCTCTCCCAGAATTTGTCGTCCTCTTCTATGCTGTCGTCTTCCTCTGGCCGCTGGACTGCGCTGCTCGGCGAGGAGTATCCGAAGATTCTCGGGTTTCCTGGTTGCAGGCAGCTCCTGGTTGGCCTCTCTCTTGCCGGCGGAGGAAGATCCATCAGGACAAGATTCCAAGGCACCTCTCGATCCCTCGGAGGACTCAGTGGAAGATCAATTGGGATAAGCTTTCAAGGAATCCCTCCGGAAATCTCTCCAGAAGGCTCCAGGATGAATGGTTACGAATAGTTTGCCGGTGTGCAAGAGGCTTGCCTCGGCTTGTTTCAACGATCTATATATACCCATTCTGAATGTTTTTTAAACACGAGAAAATCTTCTATCTATCGGCGTTAATTAAGGAGGTTCGTTAGATCACTTGCGGGGGTAGGTGGCAAGGGGACTATGCCTATAGATGTGTCTTTGTCGTTGCATTGAACATGCATTCCAACACATATACATGTCATAAGCGAAGTAAGCAGCA